CCGGGCCAGCTCCCGGGAGGCAGGGCCCACCAGCATCTGCCCGGGCATGGCTTCGGCACACACAGCCGAGCCTCCGTAAATCTCCACAAACACGGCGGCCGCCTGCACACTCTTCCACGTCGGGACGGAAAAGCTGCATATGGCGCTCGGTTTTAACAGCTGAGCTTTAAAAAAGTGCAGCTTTTCATCTCACTGAACCAGCTCCCAAATTAAAGGGTGGGGGAGGGAGAGAGAGGAGGCAGGAAAAGAGAGAGGCTGGAGTGGACAGGGGGAGAATTCCACGCTAAATTTGATTTTATAAGGAATTTCAGACTAGTATCTGCTCCAAAGGTCCCTCTGGAAAATGAAATCACAGTCCCTGTTTGTCATCCCCAAGTTTACTAATTTCATCCTTTAAAAAATAACTTTTCTTTTTTCTGCTTTTAATAAAAATGAAGGAGTCTATCAATGAAGAAATCACTCACATGCCTTAGATTGGGTTAACAATTTTTAAGCAAATTTGTAAATGGGATTATTGTTTTCCAAAGTTCTACTCAGCGAAGAGATTAGTGGCCACAATGCCCAGGGGCCGTCCCCTGGTCCTTTTAATTCCCGGCCTGGAGGTGGAAGGTGCTGGGAGAAGAATGGGAGGGAGAAGCCTGATGGAGGGCAGTTTTCCTGGAATCGCCTGGAAACTTTTACTTTCTGTTTCCGCTGCTGATAGTGACTGTCTTCGCTCTGCATCCAGCCCCCCGCTCCTCTCCCAGCCCCCTGTTGCTGCCTGCCATCCCCGAGCTCCAGTATAAAGTTTGGCTTCTGCAGCAGGAAGCAGCTGGGCCAAGCAACCAGCGAATGATAATGACCTCAGAAATCTGCTGTTCGCTCGGCAACAATAGGGTGCTCAGTCTACTGGAAAATTGTGTTCATCAGCTAACTCTGCTCAGTTACTAATTGACATTGCCAAATATTTTAAGAACAATTGGAATGCACAAGCAAAAAAAAAAAAATTTTTGAAGATCTTAATCCTCAGACTTAAATGTTTTTCTTTTTCTTTTTTTCCCTTCTTTCGAGTGCCCAGATTTGTTTGTGTGGAGCAGGCAGTGGTTATCATGAATGGGGGCAGGGAGGAGGAGCCACAGGAGAAAAAGAGGTGGAAAAGAAAGAAAATCTATCATATCACTATACACCCGATGTAAATGCAGGGGAGCCCTGGATAAAGGCCTTTGATGCTGTGGTCAATGGGCCAGCACAGGATGGAGACCCAGCATTTCAGGAATGTGCTCGGCCAACAAAAGAAGAGCCCGCAAGGCTTCCAGCCCAGCTGATCAAATAATCCTTGTCCATCTCAAAATATCATACCAGAAGTAGTAGGGGTTAACAATATTTTCATCTTTCCATCTCTTCCTGCCTGGCTTTCCATTGATCACGTAACTTAGCCGACTTTATTTAATGAACAGAGGGTCAACGCATTCAATTACCCCTTTCCCACCATCAACACTTCAATTAGCCCCTCTCCAAAATTATGGGGAATGCAGAAGGTAACTGCCCTGTTGGATATAATGAACAGTATCGTTTCTTAGTACATTAAGTTTTAATTATTCCGAGCATGATTTCCAAAGCAAAATCTAAAGAAACAGAACTTTGGTTGTCTTCTGACTCAGGATAAGGCTAGAATTGGAGCACAGCCTTAGACGAGATTTTAGGGAAAGATACAGAGATTAATGTCGTCGGAGAGTTTGCACGCGAGCCAGAAATGAGGGAGCATCAAAACACCCGCCCCGCTTTCTAAATGTCATAAAAGAGTAAAAATTTTAAGCCGCTGCTTTCCAAATAGTCTCCCTTTGCATTGTACACGGAGGCAGAAATGACATCTACTATGGTGTGAAATTAGTGGTGAGACAAATCAACAACAACAACAACAAATAAAACAAAGGGGAAAGATGGGGAAGTGATCTGTGTGACTAGTTTTGTCCATTTTCTGTTAGAAAATATGACCTCTCAATTTGTCAAAGGTCCTAGTTTTCGCAGTTGATCTTAAGCTTGGTTCTCAGCAGTTTGGAGAGCCAAAGAACAAACACATTTTCTGGTTCACTGGAATCATTTTCACATGTTCACTGATTCAAACATTCTTTTGCTCACATAACAAACAGCTGCATCCCACATTAGCCTAGCCAGTGACAGTCGCCCATCTCGGCAATAACTGTTTGATTGCAAACTTGACCCCTTCTTCGTCTCGGTCTGAGCAAGACATTTTTAAACAGCCACTCCGTTCCAATCCTCCTTTGCAAAGAATTACATCTGATAACAAAGGACGTCTCTGCCACTCATTGTAAGCCTTCTTCTGGAGATCTGTTCTAAGAGGCTCTCTGTAAAAAGGTTTTTTATGATGAATTCAGAACTACTATCATGTTAAGAGCAGCGATTTATAAAGAAGAATTCATTGGTTAAGATCTGAAAAAATAGTTTCTCAGGCCCTACTGACCCAGTTTTCAACAAAAAAAAGAATCAAGTGATGCAAATTAAGTTTTGCGACATTGTTATGCAGTCTGAGAAATTTGTAAAACCGTGTTTTTGCAGTTATTTCTTAATAGAAGCCTTAATAAGTACTTCTTTCTTTACTTAAGGGCTTAAAGATTTTTTTCTCCCCTTCACCTTGCAGGTTTCTCTCTAACAGGTAATAATAAAATACCTATTGTGTCAAGATTTTTATTTAAATGCTTATTTTAATCGCACTTTATACAAATCAGACTTGTTAGAAATAAGAGGGAAGACTAACCCGATTTGGTTAAGGGTCCTAATCCCAGAAAAACTTGAATGGCCCAGGCGTGCGACTGATTTAGGCTGCATATTGGTATGCCATCAATTTTCCTACTTAGTCAGAAAATTATGAAAGGGTCTAATTTGAATATGAAGAAAACAAAGAAGTCAACCAGAAATGAAAGAATCAGTATTCACAATTGTACGATACTTCAATGAGGGAAATAAAAGTGAGAAGATAACCACAACTCAAGTATAATTCTCCTTTGAGTCCCAAGCCCGGTTGGTTCTTTTAAGCAAAATGGACTTCTTTCAACAGAGTATTTAGAGATTTGGAAACAACAGAGATAGGAATAGCATGAGGCTATCACTTGGCCAGAAGGTGAGAAAAACACGGTAAACACGTCATTAATAGAGCCGAACATTTGGTGTCGGAATATTCTGCTGAGACCTTTTCATTTCAGCGGGGCTGGGAGACGGGTGGAAATCTGTCAGTGTTAACTCCACGTCACTCCAAAAAGTTAGGAAAGCCAGTTTGTGCTCTGCTTTCTGCCCCAGAAAGGTCCCCAATCCAAAAACCGTGAGGTGACACTCTCCAGGAGAGGGGACCGTCTCACAGGAGGCCGGAAGTAATCCGTCCTGACAATGGGACGCCTGGCACTTTGCTGCCTTTCTGCACAAAGATCCACCTCAGAGCGCTCGCCATCCGGCAGCGACACTGGAGAACCCTTGCCTGGGTTCTGGGCGGTGGTCACTCCAGGTAACGTGGCCTAGCCCTCCGTGGTTCTGCAGTCCTCCTCAGATGCTTCCAGAGTGTCTCAGCAGAAGTGAATTGCAAACGAGGCTAGGACTCCAGGAGTAGACAGTGTGTTTCATGGGTGTTTAAGCAGCGGCATTAAGTGCTATCGGAATCTCTGGAATGTGCAGTGCAGATTTATGTGTCTTAACAATTCTTTACTGGTTCGTAATAAGCCAGCGGACTCACACTTTATTTTAATACTAATTTTTTCCTAGAAGAAGGGAATACTGATGCATGACAAGAACAACACAACTAATCTGGCATCTACTTAATAAGTGTAGCAGTGAATTGCCTCCAATACTGAAATATTTATCGAAACTGAGAAGGGAAAAAAAAAGAAAAGGGGAAAAAAAAACTTAAAAAATGACCCTCACCAGGGTGTTGCCACATCTTTAACAGTGGGCAATGCAGTGCCTTGAGGTGCCTCAAACTGTCTTTCATTTTCTAGACTTAATGGCTGATTGCAGAAATCAATGTTGCCATTAGTAACAGGGTATTTGTTATGGCATGATTTCCTCTGTTGTTAGGCTGCAGAATGATTACAGTATTAGCGAGATGCTTTCTTTATAAAGGGCTAGAGATATAACTTTCAATTTACTATCCATTAGTAAGGGGCTTTGGAAATATGGATGAAGGCAACAAGCTTACCTGCTGTTAGGTAGTGATTTTAATTTAGCTGTCTTAGGATAGTGGGATATTTTTTTTTTCTTTTTTTTTTACCCCTCAAACTGGGCCAGGAAGCTTCAGCATTTCACAGACATTTTGATGACAGATTTTCTGCTTTGCTATTTTAGACCCCAAAGCTGTATCGCCCGTGTAACACAGTACAATTTAAGACATGAAGTCGCGCATCTGTGTTTCAAACCTCTGTGCTTTTCCAAACCATCAGAGGAGAATGGTGTGGTTCTTCAGGCTAGACACCCGGCAGGTGAACTGAGCTGTACTTTTGGAAGGGGACTGGAGACACATTAGGTCTAAGAAGAGACAGTGAAAGGCCCAAATGAGACAATTATGGGCATACACCTGGGGGGATAGATTGTGAAGGTCTGAACTTACACAATCACATCCATGGAGGGAGGCAAACGGTAGCTCCTGGGTTCCTGAGGTGATGGCAGATGGGGGTCAGGGAACGAAATGGGGCCAGGCAATCGGAGGGGCAAGGTAGGCTACGCCCGCTGGCAAACATACCAACTGGCCACCTCTCCACCACACAGGAGAAGGACTGACTGACTTTCCTGGTGGCCAGGGCTCAAGGGAAGGTCACAGAGTTGAAATGACAGCCTTCTCTCAAGGCAGGGCCAACAGGCAAGGTCCACACAGCATGAGCACCACGCCGCAGTGACCTCGGAGCTGACCGTGAAGGGCAGTGAGGCCCCTTCCCCACCGGGGCCAGCACAGAATCAGGGCCCTGGGGACGGAGAGCCCTCGCTCCGGCCACTGTTCCCCGTCTCCCCCAACAACCTACCTGAGGAGGACGGCGAGGAGGGGTGCGGGCTGTCCTCCTGGGCGCTCCCGGTCTGCGAGAGCCCGCCTCCGACCCCGCTCTCCTCGGTGACGTTGGAGGAGCCGGGCGTGGTGGAGCGGCTCACCGACTGGGACTCCTGGTCGCTGCCCGAGCCACGCCGTTCGTCGGGCCCCCCGTGCAGCCCGTCCTCGTCACCCTTGCGGTCCCTCTTGTGGACACGGGAGTGCACGACCACCTGGTGGTAGGTGCGGAACACTCGGCCGCAGTCTGGGCACTCGGTCGGCTTGTCCTTCAGGCTCCCGGGACCCTGCAGGTTATACTCGAGAGCCTGGTTGAGCCCGTGTGACAAAAAATCCCGACTGCCTTCTAAAGGGTCGAGCTTATTTGGCAGGTCTCTCTGATTGCCCACTTTAGTGCTGTGAACCAAATCAGCAGGCATTTTCTGCTTGGAGCCATCTGCTCCCACTAACACGTACTCCCGCTTCTCCTTATCAAACAGAACTCCGGCGTTTGCCAAAGTGTCTTCGTGGTTGCGCTGGAGCTGGTGCTCTTTAGACAAGAAGCCGTGTTCCATGGCCATGCCCCTGGCCATGAGCTGCCAAGCCTGGTAGCTGTTCACGGGGTCCATCTCGGCAGCTTTGGCAGCCGCCTGCAACCGCTCGATGCAGCTGGATTTCAGCGGTGGCACCAGGTTGAGGCATCCCAGGAGGGAGTGCTTGTCACCCTCGGGGACACCGTGGGCCATGCTGGAGATGGGGGTCAGAAGCTTCCCCACCACCTCCTTCTCCTTCAGGGGCAGCTCGCCTTTGCCGTAGAGCTGGCTGGGCTCGCTCAGGCTGGCTTTGTCTGCGGCCATGAAGCCACTCTGCAGGCAGGAGAGATACCTGGAGTACAGGTTGGCATGGGCCTCCTGGGACATGCCGCCCATGGGCACAGGCACCTCGGGGTCGCTGGGGGACTTGTTCTTCACGGACAGCTTGTTGAGGTGGACCTTCATGTGGTTCTTCAGGAACCAGGGCTCTTTGAAGCGCCGGCCGCAGATCTGGCAGCAGTGCTCGAAGGAGTCCTTGTGCTTCCGCATGTGGCCCTTTAGGAACCACGCCTGGCTGAACACCTGCCCGCACACCTCGCACCGGAACTCGCTGGCCGACTGCTCCCCGCCGCCGCCGGGGCCCTGGCCCTGGGCCGACTCGGCCGTGATGTGGGCCTTCTCCACGTGGCTTATGAGCTCCTCCTCCTGCGAGGCGGCGAAGTCGCAGAGCGTGCACTTGTAGGGTTTGTGCAAGATGCGGATGTGGCGGTCCAGCTCCTCCCGCTTCTTGAACTTGCCCTTGCAGAAGGTGCAGCGGAAGCCAGCGGCGGGCGCCACCGCGTCCTCTTGCACGCTGGCCGGCTTGGGCGAGGGCACCGGGTTGGCCACGTCCGGCACGCTGTGGTTGGTGGGCAGGGCCAGGTTGCAGGCGGCCAGCGGGGCCTGCTGGGCGTGCGCCAAGGGCTTCAGGTCGGGCCGGGGCTGCAGCAGGCTGCTTTTCATCTGCTTGTCCCGCAAGATGGCCCTCTCCTCCAGCTCGTGCAGCAGGCGGTTCTCCTCGCCCGGCACGCTGTGGTTGGTGGGCAGGGCCAGGTTGCAGGCGGCCAGCGGGGCCTGCTGGGCGTGCGCCAGGGGCTTCAGGTCGGGCCGGGGCTGCTCGTCCGGCACGCTGTGGTTGGTGGGCAGGGCCAGGTTGCAGGCGGCCAGCGGGGCCTGCTGGGCGTGCGCCAGGGGCTTCAGGTCGGGCCGGGGCTGCAGCAGGCTGCTCTTCATCTGCTTGTCCCGCAAGATGGCCCTCTCCTCCAGCTCGTGCAGCAGGCGGTTCTCCTCGCGCACCCGCCCGCGCCCCTTCCCCAGGTTGCCCAGCTTGTGGGTCCGCAGGTGGATCTTGAGGTTCCCTTTCTGCGCCGCCCGGTGGTCGCAGTACGGGCACTTGAAGGGCTTCTCGCCGGTGTGAGTGCGCATGTGCAGGGAGAGGATGCTGTTGAAGCGGAAGCGCTTGCCGCAGAGCGGGCACGGGTACTTCCGGTTTTTGCGGGCGTCGTCCTCGATGTCGCTCATCTGGGACATGATGCCCAGATTCTGACCGTTGAGGAACTGCTGCAGATCCACCCGCCCGTTGAGGCTGGTGTCCACGTCCCGGCCCAGCTGGTTGGCCAGGAGCGCCATCTGACTGCCCATGGGCTGGCCACTCATGGGCACGTGGGCCTTCTCGTCGAGAGGCGCGGGGGTCTTCTCCTCGGGGTTGGGCCGCGGATGTAGCTCGGGGAAAGCATGGCTGAGCTGGGAGGTGATCTGGTGCAACTTCTGACTCATGGCATACTGGCCGTTGAGGACGGGGCCGCTCAGATGGGGCTCTGCTTCCGGCGCCGCTGAGGACACTCCAAGGCACAGACTGGCTTCTTCCATCCCTGAAAATAAAGAAAGAGTTCAGATCTGTGCCAGGTACCATGGCACAGTGAATCAACAGCATCAGCTGGTGGGGAATTTGCATTGCATGCCTTACCTACACATAATAATGCTAAGGAATTATAGTCAAAAACAATAATAAAAAAATGAATTATTAAATGCCAATTATGCAATATGGCATTGCTCCTCCAATTTGTTTTGGCGATAGATCGTCTTCCTTGTATTTTCTATTTACAGACTGCAATTATTCATTCACGTTTAAATTATTAATGTTTTACCACTTTCAACACCTAATAACAAATCAGGGGTCTACGTGTTAAACTTTTCCTCCTCTCCCCACTTTAGCACCTGCACCTGTTGGTTCAGTTCAGAGTTTGTCACAGAGCAGAATGGCTTTAACTGAAAGACCAAACTGACTCACTTGGAACTTTTGTTTCTGGTTACTATATTCAATATATTCGCCAGTCAGAGATGAAAGAGATTATTTTATGATTTGGCAAAAAAAAAAAAAAATCCAACCCAATGGCACGATATTTACTGGTACATAATAAAACAAGATAATGTTTTGGGAAAAAATAAAGTAAAGGACAGGCTTTAGAACAATAAAAGGGATTTTGCTTTAGTCAACAAAAAGTGCAGTAATATCTCATTAAGCTGATTAGTATGCTGCTTAGAAACAGTACTAGGTGCTGTAACACATGATTATAATCATAAAAATCCTTCAGTGTTTGCAAGGAAGCATTAACGAGGTATATTAAATTTTAAGGAGACTGCGAGTAGCGGCTTTGCAAACCTTAGAGATTAAGATTTAACCCTTCTGTTACAAAACACTGTTATTTTGTTATTTGGTAACCGTGCCCATCGAAAGAAGTATAAATTATCTCATGATGGAATCATAGTGGATTGTTGAGACTGCTCAAATTTGGGTAGGGGGTAAAGACTTCCACCGCAGAGTGGGCTTACCCTGTCCTTCAACTGGCATGGTATCTGCAGCAGGGACTTTGATTGGGCTTAAAGAGATCTTTTATAGAACTGGATAAAAACCAATTAAAATCCAGGGAAGATGCCATAGGAAGTCTCAACCAAGTTTGAGTGTTTTTAATAACTTTCCCAATATACAGTAATGAGTACAAATTGTACCTGCAGTATGTGTTTTGCAGAAAATTAGAACTCAAAGCTGTTTGTTAAACACTTAACACTCAAAGCAGGTCTGCATAATTGTCTTTAATAGTCCTTTCTGCCCCTTTGCAGCCTATGCAGAATGGCTAAAGCCAGATCGTTCTGGGACGGGGCAGAAGGAATAGTCCCCTCTATATTAGAGCATGTGGGGAGCTCAACTTTGAAAGGCACTGAATCCATGCCTGGAGTCCTTCCATTTCCAGATCTGTCTTCCACTTGAAGGAGTCCAAATTTGTTTCCTGCCACTGGAACAGTTATTACACATCCATCCCCTTTGTATCCCAATGTTTAGATGTGTTGGCCAGCCAGGTGGTCCAGGAGTACGGCTTAACCCCAGCCAGGACTGATTCCTGGGCCAAGCAGTTCCCCAGGGGGACGTGTGGGGACAGAGCTCAACTGTGGAGGAAGCACATTCAGCCCTGGTGGGGTCGGCTGCCTACTGGGCTTCCCGCCAGGCAGACTGTGTGTGGATGGAGGTTCTCCAACGGGAGACCTGACTTCCTTGGCAAGAGGACAGAGGCTGTGAGTCTGTCTTGCAAGAGAGGAGAAGAAAAAGACATGAGGTTTATTTCCAGGAGGGAGAGAAACCGCAACCATGGTGCAGGGTCAACTATCCATGAGCAACTACACACACTCACACACACAGACAAGCACGTGGTCACTGGGAGTAAAAGAATGCTTTCAATTTGTCTCTGGTGGCAGTCTGTACTCAAAAAATAAAATAAAAAGAAGAAAGGAAGAAAGAAAGAAAAAAGCTCATTTTGGAGCCTGGTCAAAAAGGAGTAATTTCTCAAGGAGTTTCTTGCATTCATTCAGTAGACTTGCTGAGTTTCCACCATGTGCCAGGCCCTGTCCTTGGCACTGAAGATGCACGAGTGGATAAGACTAGCCAGTCCCAGCACTCATGGCATCCGCTGACCAGCAAGGAGGAGCAGGTCCAGTGTGAGAAGCTGTTGGAGCGGGACTGGGGCCGAAAAGGGCCCTGTCTAGAGCCATTTCACCACCTTCGAGCCCCATCCAGCTGCTCTGGCTCCTCTCCTGAGCAAACACGGATCATAACCCCAAAGCCATTTGGGAGTGCTCAGAATTCCACCCAACAGCTCTGGGGAAGTTTGGAAAGTCCAAAGCCAACATGGATGGCCCACTGCCAAAGGCTGCCCAGTTGGCCTGCTCAGAAGACATGAATCCAGGAAGACGGGCTATTTTCAGGTTACTGCTGCTGAACTGACGCCAGTTAAGCAGGAGGGAGAGGAGGCTGAATATGCAATGCAGCAAGACTGCACATCAGATTGGATGAGCAGCATCAAGTTGAAGACCACATCCCCCACCCCCAGTCATGCTGTAGACGTAACAGCTCAATTTGCCAAATACTGAACTTGAGGAGTTTTCAAGTTAGGTTTGAATATGGAATTCTTTTATTATGCTCAATTTATTTTTTCCCCCACAGTCAACAAAGCTTTTTTTAAACACCCTTTAAGCAACCAGTCTTCAGGTGCCATTGTTGACTACAGAATATTCAAGAATATGATAAGGCACCGGCGGCTCCAGCCCTTCATGCAGGTCTCAACTACATATCCCCTTCTCACAAAAACCCTCCATGTCTACCTCGTCACAGAAAACTTAAGCCCCAAAGCCTCTCTCTACCCCATTATCTTACTTTCTTCTTCAGGGCACTTATCACAGGAGGGGGGGCAGTTTTCTTATTGACCCTCTTGCAGATGTGCAGGCAGGATCATGTCTTCCTTGGCCACAAATAAAGCCTCAGGGCCTAGAGCCGAGCTGGATTGTTGTAAGTTCAGATCGTTATAACTGAATGGATGAATGATCGAACAGACCCTATAAACACAGCCCATAAACGAAGGCTAGCCTGTAGTAGAAACACTTCCACTCCAACTTCATGGAAATCAAATTCAGCTTTTGCACAAGTCTTTGAACATCCAACAATCTGAATCTGTCAGAGTCAGAAAGGCCTTGGGTTTCCACCCAGAATCTGGTGGTCCAGAAGCAGCCAAGGGAGAACCATGCCCCTGTACCAGCACTTTCACTATAAGTACTCATGGTGGCCATCTGGGCTTGAATCACCTCTGACGGCCCAGCTGCTGGCACTAGGAGACAGAGCAATTAAGTCCTTCAGAACTTGATCATCCATCCTGGGATCCATGGGAGAACCCAGAATTTCAGCAGAGCTGGAGGAGATGCTCTGAGGATTATGGCCCTCGGCTCCTCTATTGAGCCCCAGCAAAGACTGTGCTGAGCCCCACGGTATGGCAGGGTCAGACATCATCTCAGAATGCTCTGTGAGACCTGACACCCTGTGATTCCACGAGCAGGTGCAGGCGCAGCCATGGGTCAGTCACACCAATGCCAGCTGATAGACTCAGAGCAAGAAAGGGGAGAGTGAGTTCTTGGAAAGAGCAAGGGGTAATTGGTGCGCTGTCCCTGGGCCAAAGCAGCCGAGGCAGGACGAGCTGGCCCCGGGCCCAGCCTGAGACTCACAAAACCTGGGTCAGCCCCAATTTCTCCAGCCTTGATACTTCACCCATCCGGAATTCATTTACCCCTTATCTCACTCATTCAATAAATGCTTGCCTGGGGCCTTTATGTAACTGCCCTCAAGGGCTTCTGGGTCAAGGGAGCCAGTGCAAGCAAAGCCACCAGTAAGAGGAAAGCAATGAAAAGTCCCCAGAGAGACTGAATTCAAAGTTTAGAGAATTTGCAATCGAGGTGTATAGCGGTGTGTGTGTGTGTGTGCACGCGCGCATGTGAGTGTGTGTGTACAGGAATATGACTGTGTTAGGGGAGGGGCAGCAAGCCCTTAAGTGAATTTCCTCTAGCAAGAAATACAAGAAATCCCTGGGAAACTAAGGGATCACTCATCCTACTGATAAAGCAGCCCTAAGAGCTCAGAGCCTGGGAGGTGGGGCTGCCTCCAGGGGCTCGTGGTTCTGGCGGAAGGTGGCATGTCTCCTATTCCCCAGCCCTCAGGGAGCGAGCGCAGGGAGACTGCCTTCCCTTTGGGACCACAGCGCTTCCTCCCAGAACTGCAGGGAACACGTGTCAGTGTCCCCGGCAGACGCTGCCCTGTCCTGACGCAGGGGGCAGACACACACATCCACAGACAGCACTGCCCCACATGGTCACTAATAACCTGGGAGCACTTTATCCTGAGTACCAACCCATCCTTTACGCCCCAGCCCTGGCTCTGGAGCCGTCACCCTGTGTTCCAGCCATTGAGGGACCCACACTGAGATGCCAGGAGCCAGTACAGGGTAGGCCATGAGCCCGGGCTGAAGGCAACTGGGCAGCTGGGACCTTCTGAGGAACCTATACAGTAAGCCATCTAACCCTCTCACCTTGGTAGGAAAACCGTTAGCACAATCAAAAAGCAGTAAACAAACTATTAAACATGGAGGACAGCTCGCCCAGCTGTCAGCTTGTGGCCCCAGCCCAAACTGTAGCAGGAAGATCAATAAACCCTGGCTGACTAATGGAAGGAACCAAACGATACAGAATTTACTGAACGGTAGACAGGCAGCCAGATGAGGCTGGGAAGGGGATGCTGTGAACCGTCGATTCGGGTGTGTCAGCCCTCCAGCATGGAAACACTGCACATCCCACCCTATCCTGAGCCCAGGGGCATGGTGGGGCACGGGGGCACTCAACCCTACCGTCCGTATTAAGGAAGACCCAGGCCCGGACCCGAGTCCTGGCCACCATGGCATTCCTCACCTGAAAATGCCAGGCCCCCCTCTGAACACAGGCAGGGGCCCCAGCTGAAAGCTTCTGAAGCCGAGAGGGTTTCTACTTGAGCTCTGCAATTTCA